GGTGTACTAAAGGATGGAAAATATTCGGCAAAAGTGGCAAATTTGTCGAAAAGAGCAAAATTAGATGATTTGCTTAAATGTGAATTTGATAAATGATACCAATTAAGAGCTCATTATTATAAATAAAGTGATTTAAATGACAATTTAATTAAAAGTTATCCAAAATTTCAAAATGTATTGAATTCAATGTGTATTGCATTGAAGTGCATGTAATGTATGGATGGATTGAATGCAATGATGTGTTGGTCCCTCTTATATCCCTTTCCTTTTCCTCTCCAAACGTGTCTCACATTTGTTGCCAAAGACTGATTGTCTTTAGATCTAACCATCCCTTCAATTAACCGCTAATTTTTTGGCAAAACTGATGGCCACCGAAGAGTGGACAGAAAGCACGGCTGTGGCCCAAGTGGGCGAACCCGTGGAGATCAAGCTGTTTGGCCGCTGGAGTTCAAGTGATGTTCAGGTGTCGGACATCTCTCTCACTGTAAGTCTTGATTGTCTGCCATTCACGCGATATCTTCGGTGCCAATCATGTACTGAATGTCCACTTAATGTGTGTTTACATCCGTTGCTTAGGATTACATCGCAGTGAAGGAGAAGTACGCGCGATATCTGCCGCACAGTGCGGGCCGGTATGCGTCGAAGCGGTTCCGTAAGGCTCAGTGTCCTATCGTTGAGCGCCTGACCAACTCAATGCAAATGCATGGACGCAATAACGGCAAGAAACTGCTGGCCGTCCGGATCGTGAAACACGCCTTCGAGATCATCCATTTGCTAACCAATGAGAATCCGCTGCAGATATTGGTCAACGCCATCATCAATAGCGGTCCGCGTGAGGACTCGACTCGTATTGGACGCGCGGGAACTGTACGTCGACAGGCCGTGGATGTGTCTCCCCTGAGACGCGTGAATCTGGCCATTTGGTTGCTCTGCACCGGCGCTCGAGAGGCCGCCTTCAGAAACATCAAGACTATCGCCGAGTGTTTGGCCGACGAACTGATTAACGCCGCGAAGGTTTGATTGATTTGTTGGTCTTTTGTGATTACTTTATGATTAACCGGTGATTATCTCATACTCTTAGGGCTCGTCCAACAGTTATGCCATCAAAAAGAAGGACGAATTGGAAAGAGTGGCCAAATCTAACCGATAAATCAAATGCATTGAAATGTGTATTAATTATAAATTTCAATAAATATTGTTTTGGAGATATGTCTCGAATGTATATTTTAATGATTTTTAGTTTTGATAACTTTTAATATCTATAGTTTGTTTGTCACATACGGTAAAAGCAAGTGTTCAATGTCTGTGTCTGTTTTATTCATCCCTAATGTGAACCCTTTCAATATGTGATTAACTTCTCTGTACAACATTCAATATATCCGTGTCCTACAGAATAAGTTAATTACCGGTAAATATTAATATCAAGATTTACAATGAAATTAAATAAATCATGAAACGGGAGTCAACCAGTGAATCAAGCATTGAAAAGTTTTCATTGAAACAGTCGTTTCCAACCCCTATAGTGTGGACGTAATAAGTGAACCCCTCATTCATTGCGTAAGTGTCTGTGAATCACGTGTTATAGTGTTTGCATAATTAGTTTGTTTTGATTTGTTTGTAAAATGAGTTTTTGTCACTTAATTAAAGCCAAGTATTTATCAAATCATTTACAATACAGACGATTATTAGTGAGAGATTTGACTGCAATTAGCCGTCAATTGCATACAAAGCCATCAACAAAGTTGTCGTTCACTTCATACCTGTTATTGGTTTGTATTTCTGTGATGACTATTGCATATGATGTCTGTGTCATTGAATTGGTGTGGATGTGGTAACAGGTGATCCCGGGCGCCACCTTTTGCTTGGGTTGTTGGCAGGTCTCCAGAAGACAATGGAAACTCAATCTTATCGACCGCTTGGAACAACTTGTTCGGCAACCGGCCATTGATTTACCACAAGAGTTAGTGTCAGACATGAGATTTGATTTGATTGACCAATGAATCCATTAATGAATGCTTTAATTAAATGACAGTTTGGATGAATTGAATGGCTTGGAGTACAGGAAAGTGAAACTCAGAGGAAGGTTTGACAACTCGATGGAAATGTTTATAAGTCCGCGATGTCTACTTAAACCACAAGAAGAGAAAAGTGGATCCGTTTTTAGCGTTCAGTCGAAAGACTCGTTTGGCGTTTGGGTGATCACACCGTTTGTGGTGAAAGACAGAGACGCGAGAATACTTGTGAACCGCGGATGGATTCCGAGGTCTAAATTGGATCCAAAGTCGAGACTAAACGGACAGACAGATGAAGAGATAGAGTTGACTGGTGTGGTCCGCACCACAGAAAAAGTCTCTATTTGTCTCATAAAACTTTAGACACATTTCAGTGACAATTGTTTGTCTCGAATAATAATAGAGACAACCGTTTGGTCTCAAGAACGACAACAACTCCAATGTGTGGCACTTCAGAGATGTGGACGCATTGGCCCAAAGACTCGACGCTTTGCCCTTTATTTTGGACGCCGACTACAAGAGCACAACACCCGGCGGTCCCATCGGTGGCCAGACCCGAGTGTCGCTCAGGAATGAACACATGTCTTACATCATCACTTGGTATTCAATACTTGATTTGTTTTCATTAAATTGTTGTCTAAATTGTATAATGATTTCAATGCCAGGTATGGTCTCTCAATCCTAACATTTTACTTGTGGTATTTGAAAATATACAAAAGGAGGCCAACGTTTTGATACAATTGCCATCACTGTTGACTATTGAGTCTATTTGTTGGATTAAATGTATTGTTCAATTGAATTATAAAATTTTATAACATTATATCATAGACATATTTATATTAAATGTTATGATTGTAGGCAATCTTGATATTGAATTTAAATGATGATTGAATCGCGAGAATTAGAGAGTAAAAGTAGTGAAAAATAAATATTTCCTAACAAAACACTCGTGAAAAATGTGTGAAAAAATGTGCGATAAAAGAGTTGATAAAAGTTTGGTTGAGAGCGAAACTGCCGTATAATTGATGAGAAATGCATGCATTGGGTCTCAATCGCATTGAAATGTCACAGACTTTGTGAGACATTGGCTGCTCATGTCGGCAGTGGTGAGGGTAGTCGAGGGGTTGTGCGGGCATTGCATTCGGTTGTCTCATAGTGTGTCTCATAGCGAGTGCATTGAATGCATTGAAATGGAGTGAACATTGGAGTCAAGGCCAGCACAGGACAACTCATACTCTCATAGAGCGAGTGTTGTATTGAAGGCAATGTAAGGCCAATAGCGTTATGAACACAAACACTACGAGCACTGCTCTACGACTACATTGTGTTTGGAAACACTCAACACATACTCAACATTACATACCATTGACTGTAGTATTGGTTGTGAGACTACACTAATACACCAATTAGTGACCCATTAATCCATCCGATTATCACCGATGGATGTCCACGAGACCAGTGGTAAGTCATTCACTCATTGCGATCACTGCGAGCCATCGCACCATCACGAGTATCTCATGTATGATGTGATGGTTGTGTCCATGAATACAAAGCAAAGCCAATGTCTGTCCTCGACTTCGCACCAGACGGTCATTGACGCGAAGTCCATACCATTCAATGGATATCACTGTCGCTCGCGATTGTCTCAACTCATCCCTCACTGTGTTTACCATTGCAGCACACATTTGAGACAATGTTTACCAATGATATCCATTTACTTAACCGTAATATGAATATCAATATCATGTGAAACCATGTATTTGTTTATTTGATGAATGAATCCATTGATTATGATTTGTTTGTTTTCACATTTGCTTTGCTTTTCATTCAAATGTTTCAAATATCACCCAAATGTGTGGCAAAAGACATGTTGCAGGCTATCAATGATGGCTCCAATTAATTGGTGCCATAATTGTGTCAAACTATGTGTGCCATAAACACTGTGACGTTGGATGTGCTCAACGGCTTAAGAACTCATTTATCTCTTAAGTCATCGTATGTTTTGTATATTTATTGCCATTTATAGCATAATCCACGAGATATGAGATTTTGTGCCCAAAGAGTGATTATTTTTGTCATTGTCTTGACTGTCAAACTGACATCAAATCAGATAATGACAAACACTGGGATGTATTGTTAAGAGTGTATTATAATCTTCATCTAAAGTGGTTTAGAGTTGATTCGTGAGACAATTGGTCTCATTTGTTGCAAGTATTACCAAAACAAAT